GGGGGAGGAGGCGAGTTGAAGTTAAAAGTACAGAGAATCCTGTATTCTCGATCTGTCACCGGGTTGTATGGCGAAAAGAGGGGCAGAGAGAGTGAGACAGAGGCTGCACTTACAGTCAGATCGGCCTACAAATAAGCTGCATTTGCCCATTTGCCTACAATGACAGCAGCAAAATTCCTCCATTAACAATATTAAAAGGAACATATAGTAAGCGGTGGTACAGTAGGGTCACAGGGGCAAAGAGGGGCTACAGGACATTGAGGTACAGATGATGCATGAATTGATAACAGATTGCCTTTAAAGCCACTATTTTGTAGAGTCGGGGACGACTGGTTGGGAGCTTTCATGGAACAGCAAAGTCATGTCATGTGCGGCGGCAAATCGATCCCGAGTCAGCTGTTAGCTCGTCAAACCGTAACGGCACTACGGCGCGCAAAATCTGGCATCTGGGAAGGGATGTCACTGAGAGCGGCTGCGGGCGATAACTCGGTCGAGCCTGACGGCATCATGGCCGCCGCTTGTTTTCACAGCGTGGACTAAATAACTTGAGCCATGAGCGACTCGTAACGAGGAGGGCTTCTACGCACACTCCAGAGATCTTGATGGAAGGCTAACCAGGAGCGTTCAGGAGGGATCACAGAGGAACGTCTACCACGTCGGACTCAAGGACAGCTCAGTGCATGATGGGAATCGAGTCTCTGTGACCTCGGACACAACCTTGAAAAATGTGCAATGCACACGCCACACTGCACTGCTGTATTTGTGATACGCAGCTACGGTTCAACCCGGTTTCAGTGTTCTGCTCTAGTTTCTTTGGCTATTTATCATTGTCACTGCTATTTTTTTATTATTTCAACGCAGCTTGAAAATAATGGGTTGCTCCTGGATGCAGTTGCTTTATTTGCAGCATGTCGGGGCTGGTGTGAAGCGGCCTTGCTATAATTGGGGAGGACTTTGAAAGTGTTAAGCTAATTTAAGATATTTGACCACTTATGAAGAGCAAACTGTGCAATAAGAGAGGGGTCAACACATAAACTACAGGGCTTTATTAAAGGAATAAATACTTTAACATGGCTTTAAGGCCTCCAGTGCATTTCTGTATCAACCAAATGTAGTCAATAAGAACAAAGTGAGATTCTGACAAAAAAACCTTGTCTTGAAAGTGGATCCGTGAGACCCATACATTACACAGCAGGCTCTAGCTGTTTATGTTGGTCGTTGGTTGTGTGTAACAGCTGACGTGCACCCAGGAATAGAAGCCCTGGAATGAGTTAAGGCGATCAGATGATGGACGCGGCATGGTAACATTAGAAGAACTTACCGTATAAAACTACACACACACACACACACACACACCTGTGGTGGCAGTGAACATGACAACGGACCTCTCTGGCCTTTAGCTTCATAGGTCAGGCTGGTCTTCTAACTGCAGAGCGGCGTGGAGACCTGACACACGTGCTAATTTGAGCAGACAACCTACACCCATCGACCATTAGGAACCACAGAGCTGTAACATCTGATGTCAGATACTATATCGGTGCTGCAGGGACGCAACACAATTATTCATATTTGCTTTAAATCGTTGTGTGGAGAGAAGTAAATTACCATGATTGCTGCAGTGTTACCTGTACACCCGGCATTCATGACAAATAATCTGCTTGTAATACTCTGGGGGGAGAATAGAATAACAGTAGAGGATGGATCCCAACGGAACTCTAAAAAGTCCTCACCTTTAGCGAGTCAAAGCAGGCGATCACCCTTCCGTTCTCCACCTGGCAGCTTTTGGGCGGGTGGGCGAATTTGCATTCCTCGTCGCTGCGCGAACAAGTCCCTCTCTGAAACTGCCGGCACACTTCCAGGGTCAGCCATTTTGTGTCCCGCATCGATGCAATGTTTAGAGCCATGTCAGCAACGCCGGCTGCGGAAGCTGGGGTGGAGTGGAGCCACTTGGTTTTTTAGGAGGAGGCTATCCTCTGAGGAGGAGGTTTTCAGAGTGTTCCAGTGGGGAAAAAAATACAAAGACTAAAAGTGAAGGAACATGCCGCTATAAGTGATCTGCTTCAGGTCAGTGGATGGGGTTTGTCCTCGCGGACAGGAAAGTAGAGGCAATGGACTGGCAAAAGTCTCGGTGTCCGGCGCATGGGACTGCACTGCTGTTGTGGGGTTCGTCAGTCGCACAGATAATTGTTCATCAATCAGTAAGTCCCGGGTGCAGACCTCTGACACGGCAGAGGGGGCATGCTCAGAGACAAGCTCTACTTGTTGTACCAATGTCTCCAAAATGACCTTCGTATGAGTGATGATATCTGTGCAAGGGTGGGTGTTTGGAGGGGGGGGGGGGGGGGGAGGGGCAAAAGTGGTGCTATTTCGAGGTGCAATGGCACAGTTTTCGAACACAAAGTATGTGGCTTCCTATTGTTCAAAAGTCTTCGCGACTTACTCTCTCGGAGCTTTGGCACCTCGGCCAGCAGTGCGGTAGCTCCGCCCGCTTCGCTTGGGGGTCACACAAACAGTTCAGGGGTCAGGTTTGCAGCCAAGAAAGGGAAAAATCGGGTAAAAACGCCCGGGAGATCTTCAAGTAAGATGTCGTCTCACAAGGCACTTTCTGTCAGCAATCTGAAATGGAGAAAGAGAAGGAGAGAAACAGAGTGAGAAAACGCTTTGCTAAATATGATGGGCAACCGTTTCTCTAATGGGCTTCAACAGGCGTTAACAGTGTTTGTGTATGCATGTCAATCTGAATTTGTGTGCACACTGCCCCAGAGGGGTGTACAGGGCTGATGAACCAGAGAAAAGGCAGCTGTGAGGTTATACCGAAACCACTTGAGTTGAAGTCCCCCAACCGCGGCTGTGTAGCCATTGTGCGAGGCTCTCCGGCGTATTGCACACAAAGCCAAAAAAGCTTCCACGGCGTGAGACGGTGGACAAGAGCATCGGGTCTGAGCGGAGAAAGGAAAGAAGAAAAGGGTCCAACCCAGCCCTGTAGAGCCGTGCACGGCGGGACGGTGCAGCCGATAGGAAACCGCGCGGCGCAGCACTATTCCGGGCGGCCGTCCAGCAGCCACAGAGGGACCGAGACAGATGCATATGCCAGACACGATTATGACGCGGCCCAGTGTCCTGCAATATTCACTGGTGTCCTACCGTCCGAATCATTGACATCGACCTGTCAATTTACATTCACGGGGGGGGTATGTGCTCATCTTGTGAACGCTCTCTGTGACCGTCTGTCGTCTCGGGAGAGAATGGGGACAATAGGTGGAGCAACAATCTGAGGAAGTGACCTTTAGCTCGGGCATTACGAAACCCATCAATAAGCTACTGCGCAAGGAGCTCTTTTCTTGGCACATCTGGAAATGTTTTTCAGCTAACCGGGGGTGGGAAACAGGGATTTGAGAGGACACCAGACTGAGGGAGGAGAAGGGTTGTAAAAACATGCAGCTCTGGTTAAAAGATTCCCCCGTTTTACTGTTCTAAACATGTGTAAAGCGCCCACGGAAAACAGACCGGGAGAACACCAACACTGTGAAAGCGATATCTGAACTTGATCTTAACGAAGGCACGTTGAGACTCCATCCACATTACTGTAAAGGGACACAGGTGTACATTATCTTTGGCCTGTAGATGTACAAAAATCATCCCGCGTCTTGAAGACGTCTGAATTCTTTTTTGTAGTTTTGTTTTGATGTCTTAAAGATCAAAGGGAGGAACTCAAAAAGACCATATGTCCTGTGTTACGAATAAAAAGATCTTCCAGGCTGCGATTGATTTCTTTTTTTTTTTCGGTCAAAAGGACAGATTGATTTTCCCGAGACGACGAAAGATGCTCGCCCTTGAAATCACCCAGGAAAACGCTAAACTGTTCCAAGCCTATGAATCCTGACCATTGTCTCGCTAATCATATTGTCCCACTTTAGCACTGATCATGTGAAACGAGATGAGAAGCTTCCTCGCCCGATCGCACCGATGCCCGGGCTCCGCTCTCCAAGGCGGGATTTAATTTCACACCATCTCCCCGGGGAGACAGCCAATCGCTGCGGAAAGAGAAAGTCAGGTAAGAGAATCATGTCAGATCTGACCTTTCACAATTAATCTCTTCTAATTTTAGAAGCCAGAAGAAGTCTGCGATCAAGCTAACCTACTTAGTCGGTATGGGAAATGACTTGGCCTCAAACGATGGAAGAAGTTGTGCTGAAATGGTTGGGGGAACACAGCCAATTTGTATTTTTTTGTGGAGAAAGTGTTGGTTTGCAGCACTGAGAGCTTTTCATAAAATTCGAGTGGGCCAGTTGGATAAGGGTCGGTTGGGGTCATCAAAAAAAGCTCACAGGGGACCCCACAGGCAAAGGTATTCATAACAAATGGTGAGGACTGAAGATCACAAAGACTGCCATGTGGGTGAGGGGTACGATGATAATCATGCAGCAACATGACCGCATGTCTCTTCCCATACTGTATATATAGACGAGTGTCTGTTGTGCAATATGCCCAGCAAACTCAACTGCTGTCCAAGCAACTGTTCGTTTGCTATTATTAAGGCGGGTGATGAGCAAAATCTGCTTTAAGACGATCGATTGTTGAGTTAACTTGATAGAAAATGATAGAAAATCAATAAAGTCTGACAATCATTGGAAAGTTTTAAGTCAATTATCAAAACACAAACATTTGCTTCATTTGCTTAGCTTTCAAAGAACAAAGATGTACTTCGAGCTGGAGCACCTAACCATGTATTTATTGCAGTGTGCTTCACCAAATTAGCTTTAAAGAGATGGATGTGTCATGCTAACCTGCTTTTAGATGACTCAGCCCTCCTTCTCCCCTGCTGTCATCCTGGGGGGAAAACTACTACCTCTGTCGCACCACAACATCCACATTTTAAGAGCATGAGAAACTGCTTCGCCATAATGACCGCTTTGGAAAACTCCAGCTGAGGTAAGAGGCGATGCATGCAGTTTTGCTTTTAGTCTGGTTCCGACCGTGGCTCGGGCTAGCTTAGCTTCTGCTGGTGCATTACGCCGACAGTGCATTGCAGGCCTGGCTTAGTTTACGCCGGGCTTAGCGGTCGAGCTTCCAGCACAATGCATGAAGGGAAAGACAGATGGTCAGCAGGTAGGAAGGGACCATACAGTGCCCAATGTTTTCACCTCAGAGATAAGCCCTGCTGTGCACCTTGACTGACCCAGGTTCTGTTTCTGCAGTTCTTCCAGGGCCAAAAGAAAATGATAGAAGTAGAGCTTGATCAAAGGTTAGTCTTAATCTGGCTGAAAAAGATGCCATAGTTTAACACCAGACGGCCTGGGTGTGTGGATGTCAATGGCTGCTCACTTTTTCGACAGAATTGTCAGAACTAAGAGTGACATATTTGATGTTTTTTAGCTACACAGGTCCACATACCTAATAAAGCCCAAAGAGCCAAACCCTGCTGTACATCCTGTTTATTCCTGCAAGACGTCTTTGTCTTCTCAGTACAAACAGCGGACCGACAGGTTGACCTGATAAAGCAGGGCAGAGATGTGAAGAACAGCACTACAGTACTAGACTTTATGGATTACTGACACTTACTAAGGCCAGCTGGCAGCGGCATTATCTTGGTCAGTCCGCTTAATTGAATGAGAGTCAGCGGGACTGGGGCGTCTCGAGTGAAAGTCATTGGCTTGCCCTCTGAATACCAGGCGTGTAACCCATTAGTCTGGTATCTGTGCGCTCGGTCCGTGCGCTGCAGTTTATCTTGGCTGCTTGTATTTGCTCAGCAGAGACGATAAGCTACCAGGGGTTTCCATTGGTCGCGAGCCTCGCGACAACGTTTGCTGTGGCATCAGCCAGGTGTTGTCGGCAAAATAAAGCAGAAACACAAATGGCCGTGACGGACGACAAACATGAGCTGGATGTACCTGAGTGGCTGCATTTCCATTTATTACCATTTCATGCCGGCAAGCCACACTTCTATGGTCATTTGCATGGCCAAGAGGAACACGTGGTCGCTGTTTTTCAAGGCCGTGGAGAGAGGGCCTCATTGTTGAAGTGAAATAGGAAAATGTTTCCAGCGAGTAATGGAAAGTGAGGGAGCATAACAGTAAAGGTTTAATCAAAATGTCCCTAACAGAGCGAACCTAGCGTTCAGCGTGACATCACCGGCATGCAAAATGTTCCTCTGCGTCCTCCAGAGAGGATCAGAGCACGCGGCTATACCCCGCAGCCTAATTCCTGTTTAATACTATGGACGTTATGATGCTTATGAAATTGTCCATGGCATAAGCTACGGCTCCTCGAGTTCAATATCATCAAGTGCCATTAGCGATAAGGACGGGTGAGTGGGCTCAGCAGAGGCTGTACCAGGACTAAGCTACCATTCAGAGGCAACAGAAGCGTTTTCACCGAGTCAGCAGGTAGGTGTGCCCCATATCATAATAGCCTTAGCTAAACCACGGTGACCCGAATGGCCCTGCGCATGATGTGGGACTGTCCCGATCAGTGTCCCGATGTCCTGTTCGTATTTGGGATGGAAATCAGCCACTGCATTCTGTAAATGGACTTGTTTACTGTGTAAGTGCTACTCCTTGCGTCGCCACAGGACTCAGCTAATTACAGTGTAGTTGGCAGCCAGAGGTGACCAGCGCCGTTCAGATAAACATGATGATTAACAGGATACCCGAGCCCACTTGATCTGAAGGTCTCAGGTGAAAATTGCAGGAGCACTGCGCCTACAGCGGCTGTTTTTTTTTTGTTGACACTGGAAAATACTACGCTAGATGAAAGCTCTCGTACAGTGAGATATCAAATGAGTTGAAATCTTAAACCCACAGATTACAGCACTTGAAAACACAAGAGCTGAATGATTCAGCAAACTCACCCTCGTGTCACAGAGCAATCAGACTCCCTCTTTCATGCAGAAGATGTCTACCAACCACTAAATCCTTTTAATACCGTCTCGAGTTGCAATTTGCAGGAGAGTCACTTCCGAGGAAGGGGGATTTCTGGCTGATAGGGTCTTGCAGCCAGGACTCGGTGCTTGTCTGAGGCTTATTATCCCCATTCTTTTTCGCAACAGGAAGGGCTGAACTGATGTTCCATTTTAGAAAACACCCACTTCCCCTTGATCCACAGCCAGATGTATGACACCACCCCGGCCTTCTCCACGCAGGCGATGATGTCCACCGCTTGAACCGCTCCAGGCCCAGCGTCTAGCGCGAAACTAAATCTAGACAGGCGGCGGAAAGCCGGGGGACACGTCAACCGTGCCTCTTCTGACACATCAGGTTAATTATGATGTGGGCCTTATTAGAACTGTGAAGTTCCAGCTATTTGTGTCCACGTACGTAAACACCAAACATTCTTTGCCCTTAAAAAGTTACTGTATGGGGAAAAACTTTGCGAGAACACCACAGCGCGGATACCACACTCCTCTAGAGAGTGAAAAAATGTGTAGCCCATGTGGCAAAAAAAAGAGAAGAGAAAGCTTCTGACATTTGCACTGAGGAAAGGGGGGGCAAGTACACTGCTGCGATAATGCCTCTCCCTCTGGAGTCGAAAGAGAAAGTCCATTACAGCGCTGGAAACTGCAGTGAGCGTAGTTACTGCGTGGCTGCAGGCTCCCAGCACTCCTGTGCCTTTATCCCCCCCACACACACACACACACACACACACACACACACACTATATTTTCTTCAGCCTCACACTCTTTCTCTCGCGCAGATAAAACATGCTCTCTCCTCCCTCCCCACCCAGACTGGTATGCAGCACACTGCAGCAAAACTCCTGCAAAAAAAAAACACACAAAAAAGAAGAGATAAAGCCAGCCAATATGCTGGTTCTTTCCCACCTCGTTTCCACTGGGTCCCGTAGTCTGTCTGTCTGTCTGTCTGTCTGTCTGTCTGCTGTCCCGAACACAGGAGGCACCCGGCGCTTCTGTGACACTGAGCTACAGTGCAGCTTTCCCTTCAGCCTCAGCGACCGGAGTTAATGACCAAGTGAACTGTTGTCATTCCTCGCGAGCTGCCGAGTGCTGCAGCCGGGGGTCCATGCCTAGACAGGGAGTTTCTCTCGCTCTCTCTCTCCCTCTCTCTCTCTCAGTCTCTCGGAGAGCGAGGCAGGCAGGCGGGCAGGCAGGAAGCAGAAGAGTGTCTCCTCCAACTATCTGGCTGAAACACTTCCAGCCAACTCCCCCACACCCCTTAAAGCCAGCCCCTTCCTGCACACCAGCCTGTGGCAAGGCCCCGCCCCTTAACAGCTCCAGCCAATGGAGAGGCGGCTCCACTGAATCACTGCTTTTTGTGCCTCTCCATTGGAGCAGAGTGGGCTGTGTGATAGGGCGAAAAACTGTGCTTACAGTGACAACCCCTGAATGCTGATCGTAAAAAGGTATTTCCCCAATTTCGTGCCCTGCTCAACTAGCTGGCGTATTATTTATTCCGTCTCCATCGCTCTCCCTGTGAACTTGATTATATTCAAATTCAAATCAGCACCGCCTGAATTGTTTCCCAATAGGAAAAAGATGTAAAGTCTAGACTTGTTCGTACCACAAGGCAAAACAAGTAAGCAGTGATCAAGGAGTCGCTGCAGTCGCATAATGAAAATCAGCCTTGTCCTTGTCTGTGTTCTATCATCACATTTAACACCATTCCCCCCCCCCAGGAAACCAGAGCACTGACTCTCCTCTACCTCCCCTCAGCATCCGACCTCTAAACTCATCCCCTCCCACACACATCTCTTTTCCATCCCTCACCTGTACGTTTGAACCCATTTCTCAAACATATCTTTCGAGCCCAGTTTCACTCAAATTCCTGATTACTGGACTGCAAAATCGCACAGTGGCAAACATTTCTGTTGTTGTTATTGCATCGGAATTTGCTCGGGGGAAAAAAAGGGAAGATTGGTGGTGGCTGGGACTGCTTGGTCTGTCTCCTCCCCCACCCGTCCTCTCCTCCTCCACCCAGCCGATGACATGCCGGTCGGCATCACACGAGCCGAGAAACCGGAACGTCACAGAACTGATGAGTCAGAGAAGCAGCTTCATGACTTTTCGATCCAGATTCAATAGAACAGCTGTACCGTCTGTCTCTCTCTCTCTCTCATACAAAGGCTGTGAATGACGCAGCAGCCTGGGTGTTTCGTTGACATCAACGAGGCTCAACACGCTTTACAGTTCAACGATAAACAAACGTATTTACTGTCTGATTATGCTTTCATAGTGTGACGCTCCACAGGGAATAGATTTTGTCAAATGGATCAGGGGCGATTGGGGGGGGGGGGTTTGAGGTGATTAATCTCTCTGGCATGAAATATCCTCTACCTCAGCGAATGACGCCGAACACTGACGTCATCTTCGGCATCAGAGCACCTGTAATGAAATAACACAGGCGAGCGCTCTGCCGTTATATGAAGAGGGAGGTGGGGGGGTGTCAGCCTTAGAGAAAAGCAAAAGTGTCACCTTACACCTTCTGCGGATGTAGTCTCACTATGCTACACGCAGCAGATTAAAGGAGCAGCAACAACAGTATATTACTGCGGGATGCAACTTGACTTAAACAACTCTACATCATTCATCCAGAGCAAACAGCATGTTGGACAGGCCAGCCTGCTCCACCATCGCTCACAGATGAATCTTATCAATTTCTCATTTGGCTGCAAACCGACTTCTCAATAACCACATTACTGAATAATAAATGCGTAACAAGCCTGCTGCTTGTAGCTAATTTCCATCGGCAGACCTCAGATAGCCTACCTTCTAAATAGGTTTGTCCGACAGGAAAACAAACAAAGGCCTGGCAGACAAACACGCTGAGCCACTTCCTTCCCACGTCGTACCCCCCCCCCCCCTCCCCCCCCCCTTATTATCCCTGTCCTGTTTGACCCCAAACGGCTTCGCTCGCTCACACACAACCAGATTTAAGAGCCCGTGTCCCCGAGTGCCTTCACTTTCAAATACAAAAGGAGCCTTTCCCAAAAAACAATGGCTAATTGCAGCAAAATGAGAATTGACGGGTTAAAACAGTTTGAAAAGGCTGTTTTTTTCGGCGGTGCTATTGGATAGTCGAACACCACGGAGAGAGAGAGGGAGACAGAACAGGGCTCAGAAATAGGGCACCGATGACAGATCAATGAAAAGGCAGCTGTCTTTTTTCTATTATTAGCCGTAATCAAATATCAAGCGGCAGAGAGTTGCGCTTCCTTCCGCTTGAAGTCCACATGATGACAGAGAATACACAAGTGGCTGTGTGGGCGAGTGGTCAACTAGTGTGGTTTAGGGCAAGTTCAAGGCTGTGCAATGAAACACAAAAAAGATCAACCAGGAAGTACTGGATTATTTACGTTAAAACACCTCCTGGCTTGGAATCAAACATCTGTTTTCCGTGGGTTAATCTAGAACATTAAAGGCCGATTTTTCATACTGCTGATTATACAAAGTCCCTTTTCCGAACAGTCCTAGTGCGCTGTGGACGGCTAGGTCTTACTCAAGTGTGCAAATTGCTTTAATAGCCTTAATGAGCACAATATATTCCATTAATGATATTGTTCTACTGATAGTTCATTTGCTTCCACCAGTGCAATTCTTGTTCCGAGATGTCAATTTGCATTTTCAGAAGGACCAATTACTGTACATGACATAGCAGGATGACAACTTATTAACCTCACCCAGGTGGGAGAAGGCTCCAGCTCTGCCAACCTGCAGTAGATTTAAATGTGCCTCCACTTACGTCTCGTTAGAACGGCTCTATTCTTTCTTGTACACAGCGATCAAAATCCAACAACCCATTAAATCAAGGTGCAATTACGGTTATTGTGTTTTCACATCTGCATTTGAAGGTAACACACAGTAACAGTTCATTCTTTGCACACTGGAATAGGAGTGCACCTTGTAAAATAAGATAAGATAATCCTTTATTAGTACTGCAGTGGGGAAATGTACAGCAGCATAGACAAGAGACAGTAAAAAAAACAATATCAAAACAAGTATTATAAATAAGTAATAAAATAGTAAAGAATATTAAATAAGTAAAAAATCCACAATAACTAAAATATTAAATATACAGACATAATTTTCAATATTATATGTGTTACAATAAATGTGTTATTATCGAACCTGTCCCCCGAGTGATTGAATTATAGACATTGGTTGCTTCGCGTTTAGCAAACAACATGCAGGACTGTGCAGGAAAGAGCTCACAGGCACCACTACGCATGTCACTGTGGAGCTGCTTTTACTTGTGTTCATTAGCGTAGCAATCCAGACATCGGGTCCCAGTGGTAACGACACCGCAGTAGCATCATCACAACCATTTTAGCCACCTTCTACTTGCAAGCGTGAGGCGCCAGAGGCACGTTGCGCTAGCTGCTAAGCTAGCTACCTGCAGCTTACCTGATGACGAACCTGTCACATCCAGCTGCACGCTTCAGCCGACACCACCGCCTCTCGAGAGCGCTATTTGGGTTGTGCAGGACGGGTCGGGGTGGGGGGGTGGGGGGCGAAATGGTCTTCGAATGAGACTCCTCACTTTTTCTTTTGCCGTGGCGACACTTTTTGCAGTTTTATTTTAAAACGTGCAGAAGTAAGCTATGACTCGCTACGCGCTAGCTCGCTAACTACTTTTTAGGGCTAGGGTAGGAAGCAACAAGCGATTTTGACAGTTCGAGGAATGTTGAATGTGCTTCGCGAGGGGGTTAGTACTAAGGTATACACATTAAATACGCGTTTATTCTCAACTATATCGGATATTATGAGCTGAAACTAAAAGACAAACAGTATAAAATTGGTATGTGTTAGTACATGTCGTTCAATTTTAACACGGGGATTTACTTCTATTCGATAAACAACACATTTCCAACCCTACAGCAAAAGTGGTACAGTCCAGATGAACCAAGGGTAAAGGGAGGGGGTGCTTGTTACCTAGGAAACAACAGTGAATCTCCCTGTGGCGAAAGATGTGGCCACTGATTTATGGACCAGTGCCTGTCTGTCTGTCTGCCTGTCTGTCCGTCAAAATAGCCTGCCATCGACAACATGATTAAAGACATTTCACAAAACCTGTTGCAATTTAAACTGTATTCATTCTCATAATTATATAATTCAATATGTCTTCATATTCATTCTATCATGATATAGATATACAGTATGCAGATGTATTGACTTATGATGTTATTATTGCAATTTCAAGAGAAACTTAACAGCAAAAACAACAGAAAATACATTTAATTTTGATTTATCAGCTGATGAAAGATTCTAACTCAGCACACCGTCACCACTCGATGCTTTGCAGAGGGGCATGCACATCCCCGGCACTTTGCAGCCTAATTGCATGCAGCTGGCTGGATTTAGCGGCCTGTGACACACAGAGACCCGTTGTCAGCAAGAAGCGCAAACGAGTCAACAAGGAGCAAGTCACAAATATCCCCGGAATGAGCAGAGGGGCACAAATTTAGCCCCACTGACTGCTGCCCACGCCATGTGCTGCCTATTGAGCGCACGGACAATGAACACAGCCATCACAGACTGCTCTGTCAGGTCCAAGGCCTGCTCCAGCGGAATGCTACACCGCGAATGAAGGCATCGCAGTTTGACAGGACACAGGCCACCGGCCTGGGATGAAGACGGTGTTGGTTATAAACAGTTGTTTGAAGCACAGACCTTTATGGGCTCAATTTATGATCAATCATGTAGAAATTCAAAGATGGAGAATTAATCTGGGGTCAGACGGGCGATGGCTGGCATGTGTTACTGCCTTGCGTCACAATATAAAGTGACATTTGATGCATCACACTGGTGGCGCCATACAAGTTCATATTAATCAACATTATCTCCGGCAGACCAACAGTAGAGGTCTTAAAGAGAACCAAGAATACTGATGTCATCCCAGCCGGCTCATGCTCTTTTCAGCATTTAATATCAGAAACATAGCCATAAGTCTTTCTTTTTTTATCTAATCACATATCATGTAAGTTTTTCATCCTAATATAGCAAATCGAAAAGCAAAACACAACACATCCAAGGCATCGCCACTGTGGAGGTAAAAAAAACACAGTATTTTCAAGACCTAAGTGATTATGAAAAACTGCTGGCATAGGTCAAGCTCATCCCTGAATGCCTAACGTATTGATCTCAATGCAGAGGAGGCATTTGTAAAAAAAAAAAAAACGAGAGAAAAAACCCCGCTGCTGGCGGCATACTTCTCTAAAAGTCCCTGAACGCCCACACACTTGCAAACACACACTGGGCTCACACTCCTAAAAAAACACAAAAACATCAATTTAACAAGACTTTTTCTTTCCTTTGGCTTCAAGTTTGAGGTTGCTGCATTGATGTAGGCGGAGGGCTGAAACGCTTGTGTCACTTTCCCTTTCCCTGCTTTGTGCAAGACGGAGCAATTTAGCCGCGATTCAACAGCGTGCTCATTTCGGACGCCATTTGTAAAAAGTTTGGGAAAACAGGTGGCACTATTTCTTCCTAAGTCAACGTCACGTACACATTTAAAGCGCGCCGTTCATCTCAAACGCTCGGCGTGAAGAAGCTCGCTGCCTGTTCGCGTCGTGTGCTCATTAGTGTGTTTTTTGACTTGTTGCAGGGGCAGTCTGCGGAGTGGACCTCAGGATCGACTGAGGGGGCGTCGGGCGGAAAAACAACCATAGCATCGACGCAGCTTCACTGTTTGCTCCTCTGAAACGCAGAATGAAGGGATCACAGCGGGAAACAGCTCGGCCCCGCAGACAGAAGACAGTAAACAACGCACTCAAGATAGATCGACACACACACACACATATAGGGGCCAAAGCTCTGACTCTAGAGCCTCCATCTGCACACACGCCCACACACACACACCTACACGCGGTGGGCAAAGCTCTCCCGTCAAGGACAGGATTGATCTTGGAAATCTCTGAATGAGAGCACACCTGATTATGAAAGCTTTTAACCCAAATGCTTAATGCAGCGCAGGTTTAACAGAAAAGAGCTTATGGCTGACATAAAGCTCAGACAGTGTGTGTGTGTGCACTTGCATTGTAGTTTAGTCAATTTGATTGATTGTAGGGAGATCACATGGGCATTTTACTCCCACTATGACTTTTACTGATCACAAGGCCGAAACAATGACGGACTGAAGACGGGCCCCGCTGTCGTTAAACAAACCGATCCCCCAAAAAAGTGCACTTCACGGGGGGGGGGGTTATTCAAAACGCTGAGAGGATCTATTTGAGGCAGACTCATTTGTCCACTGGGGGAAAAAAGACTAGCTATGCATCGCCATAAATCATTAAAGACTGCAAACAGAGGGCTACAGCTAGCCTGGCTCCTTCCTTAATCGCTGATTATGGTATGCCTTGTGTAAAAACTACAAGTTGTAGTTTTATTGAGGGTTACGTGAGGTCCTATTTCTTGGTCCAGTGCAAGGACTTTATTGAACCGCTCCTGGTCTCGTGGCAACCTCACGGCGAAGACAAGACAAAGAATTAGCGTGTCTCATCATTTCACATTACACACGGTCATTTGATGCTTTGTCAATATAGAAATATTGATCGGCGCAGCTTTTAAGTGTGTCGAAAATAGCCTACTTATATATTTACTCTCCACCACTGGTTTCCTGAATTGATTGCACAAACGTGGATCCATAAAATATACTGATGATAGATGCTCCATTTGTGTGAGCTCATTACCAGAAATACAGTTTGTGGATTTTAGGAAAAACATACATTACTCAGTGTCTCATGAACACGTGTTTCCAGTCTGAGAAAGCAGACT